TTGTAATTAGAGCCCTTATGGAATGATTGCTTCTCAGAGGTGTCTTCCAGATATAGCTGGTCTTTAAGTTTTGAGTGTCTAATGACTCTAAGGCTATCTCATTTTCCTTATACTAGGAAGGTTCATTGACTAGATCAATAACAACACCTTAGCCCAAGTGATACAATCAGCAATACCATTGCATCAAGTACATCTTTGAAAATGGCATTTTGTGGTAGTTATTAATCTATCACCTTTAGCTGTGTGAATTAAATCAAGATCAAGGACCAACCCAACATATAGTAAATAAACTCTTCAATATAACAACTTTACCCTCTGGGATGGGGAGTTAGAAGGGGTTGCGGGGGGAGGGAGGGACAGATGGGAAGAAGGATAGGGGAAGGTTAGCAGTGTGGCCAGAGGATGCAGGTGAGAAGGAAAAATAGAATAATGGGAAAATAAAGAAGAACGTGAATGAGGACCCAAACAGGGACAAAAAGGGAAGATGAACAATGTGGGAGAGCAAGAGAGTGAGTGTAAGAGAGAGAGAGAAAGGAAAGAGAAAAGAAAGAAGAAAAGAAAAGAAAAAAAGGAGCAAAAACCAAATATTTGCAAAGAGTGGGAAAAAAATTAAAGATAAGAGGAGCAAAAGAAAAGAAAAAATACCAAACTAATAATACTAATTTTGGGAATAAAAATAAGCATGAAGATGTAGGGCTTCTTTCAGGGTATGTCTCTGCTATTACAATAGACAACGTGGGTTGCAGTGTGCAGATATAAGTCAATGAGTCTCAGCAAGCTAGTCGCAGACCCATGAGATTCAGGCAGATTTCTGGCTGCACGTCCCAAGTTGAGCTCCCTGTCCTCCCGTGGGGCTGAACTCTCCAGAGTTGTATTTCAAGTTCCAGCTGCCCTTCCCCCTGAAGATAATCCCGGTCCTGATGGAGGTGACGATGACTCCAATTTACCTAGTACAGTGGTCTGGTGGTCCGGTGTCCTCTGCGTCTTTGTAGTGTGGACCCAGGTGGCAGTACAGCGAAGAGGCCAGAGGAGTTGAGGGGGGGCGGTGTTGTCCAGTGGATTGCTGCCGACCTTGGTACGGCGTCCACAGACCTGCCTGTCTGCAGCGGGCTGTTTCAGCGTGTTCTGCGCGACTCGTGACCTTGGTACGGCGTCCGCAGACCTGCCTCAATCTATAAAACAATCACTCTCTCAAAAGCTAAAAATTTTAAAAAATTGAGCCACAGTGCGATTATCACACCAAAAAAGCAACATTAATACTTTAATACCATCAAATAGTCAGTGTTAAAATTTCTCTAATTTGCTTATCATTTTTATCAAATGCCACAATTTTATGCATTGAAAATATATTTTGCTGAGCATGGTGGTGTAGGCCTGTAATCTCAGCACTCTGAGAGGCTAATGCAAGAGAATGAAAGTTCAAACCCATCCTGGGCAACTTAGTGACTTAGCAAGACTTTGTCTCAAAATAAAAAACTGAAGAAGAGGGCTGGGGATGTAGCTCTGTGTGACCAAAAATGGCCAAACAGGGATTAGAGGGTAGTTGTGTATCAGTGTCACTTTCCCAATTTTTGATAGTTTTATTGGGGGGAGTTTTATCTAGAACATTCTGGTTTGTAGGAACCACATAACGTTAAAATTACATTCATAGTCATGTAACATCAGGTCAGCAACTTATTTTCCGTTGGTTTTGTAATTTATTTCTAAGTTTTCTATAACTATTCTATGTCCCACCCATGTCTCACCATGTCCACTTAGAAGCAATTATTAGGACAGGTAGATCTTGGGTTCTAAATACCACTTCTCACCAACAGGAAGGGATCCTTGAAGAAACAGCCAATTCCATGGCTAGAGGAGAGAAACTACACAGGAAGCCTGAAATACCCATTTGTATCTGAAAAAAAGGAAATGCTCAGAGACTAATGGGACACAATAAAATGACCTTGGAAACTCAAGCAAAATTAATTTAGGTGAAAGAAGTCGTGTTAGGGTTCCATACTGAGTAGGGGATTGACTAATGAAGGGCAATAGGGAAGGTTCTGGGAAATATTCCACATCTTGTTTGGGTATTCATTACATAATTTTTATTTTTAAATTTTTTTTGGAGGGGAAGAGGTTTATTTGGCTTACAGTTTGTAGAAGTTTCAGTCCATAATTGGCTGGCTGCAAAGTATAATTTTTATTTATTTATTTTTATTTTAT